ATAACCTATATTGAGTTGCTTGCCTTTTCAATGAGGGTGGTGGGGAGGGAAGAAGGGAGAAGAAATTGAAACCTAAAGTTTTAAAAACATATGTTTAAAAAAAAAATTTCACATGCTACTGGGAAATAAGAAATACAGGAAATGGGGTACAGAAGTCTGTTCTGCCCTACAGGAAAATAGAAGGGGAAGGGGATAAGAGAAGGGGGAAGAGATAGAAGAGAGGACAGACTAAGGGAAGGGATATTCAGAATGCCTGCCATCTTGGGATGGGGGAGGGGTGAGATGGGGTGAAAATTTGGAACTCAAAATCTTGTGGAAGTATTAAAAACTGAAAATAAATTTATATCAAAAAAAAAAAGTAGTGAGGGGGAGAAAATGATCATAAATACTTTCAACTACAGGGCAGCTACATGGGTTAGTGGATGGAGTCCCCGGGCCTGGAGTCAGGAAGACCTGAGTTCAAATTTGGCCTCAGACACTTAATTAGTTGTGTGACCCTGGGTAAGTCACTTAAACTCATTTGCCTCAGTTTTCCTCATCTGGAAAATGAGCTGGGGTCAGGAAGAGTCAGACATGATTGAAATGACTAAATAACAGCAGCTTTTAACTACATAAAATTAAAAGGCTTTTGCATAAATAAAATTAACAAAGGCAGGATTAAAAGAGAAATAGTAGAGTAGGAAAAACATATGTATCAAATATCAACAACAAAAGTCTGACATCCAAGATACAGTGACTTCATTCAAATATAGAATCCCAAGAGAAGCTATTCTCCAGTAGATAGGTAGTCAAAGGACAGAAACAGTTTCCAAAAGAAGAATTGGAAACTTTAAATGGTATTTTGAAAATATACTTCAAATCAGTAATAGTAAAATAAATGCAAATGAAAACAATACCTCCCACCCTGAAAATTGGCGCACGTGCATGCACGCGAACACACACACACACACACACAAACACACACACACACACACAAATTATTCCAAATTGGAACAATCAATGGACTAAGTAGAGTTGTCATTTTGGAATTATGCAAGACAAGTTGTCAATTGTCAATATTAGGGGTGGGGAACCTGTGGTCTTGAAAGGGCCATGGCCCAGCCCTCTAGGTCCTCAGGTAAGGCCCTTTGACTGAATCCAGACTTTAGGGAACAAATGGATTGGTTTGGAATCAGTCAAAGGGCCGCACTTCAGGACCTAGAGGGCCATATGTAGCCTTGAGGCCACAGGTTCCCACCCCTGGTCAATACCATTTGACCCAGTGACCCCTCAGAATACCCTAAGTAAGTCAAAGACAGACACAAAGATCCAATACATACCAACATATTTGGAGCAGTACTGATCACAGTAGAAAAGATCTGAAAAAAAAGCTGGGTTCCATCAACTGGGGAATGGCTTCAGAAATTATGGTATGTGAATGTGTACTGCCTAAGTCCTTGGCTCACTCTTCCAACCTATACTCAGACTAGCAGAATGAGTTCCAGAGCACGGCTGGCTACCTCACCCTGCAGGGTTCTATGGGCCACCCTGAGAGAGAAGAGGGTATTTCTAGGACTATTATTCATGAGCTCCCACCTAGTTTGTCATCCCCCTAATACTGATCATCAATTAATATCTTACCAATATTTAACCAATTAACATCAATCAGATATTATAAAGGAATATTTACTGAGAAGGTAGCAAGGTTTGAAGCACAATATCTCAAACTGGAAACACGCTCTCCTCTACTAGGTATGCCCTAGGGAGGGTGAGTCAGATCTCAAAATGATTGCTACGAAATGCTCTCCCTCAAACAAGTTCACTTCTAGGTGTGGCATAGGTGATGAACAGTCACTCCCTCGCTTTCAGGACACAGTATCTTAGCTGCCAGGTCAACTCACTACTAGGCTGGCTCAAGCAAATCACTCCTCAGGGTGAGATTGTTATCTGACCCCCCATCGCTACTCTTGGCAGGTTCCTTTACTATCTCCAATTATTAGGCCTCTGACGGCGACTGGGTGGGAGAAAGGCGTACTCAGTTCAGGCCTGTCAGCCAGTTAAAAGGTTTTTTCATCACCATACACTAAGCCAACAGGAACAGAGGATACCTAGGCATACTATGAAGTAGGAAGCAAAGGCCCCTCCATGGCACATTTCTGGAAGCAGGCTCACCCAGCGTCCAAATGAACATAAGGCAGGCTTGAAGGACTGAGCCCCTTATTGGCCCATCCTTCCATTAAAAAAAAATAATGGATATTTTCATGCACTAAGAAGTAACAAAATACCAAGAATTCAGGGAAATCTCGTAGGGAAACATATATAAACTGGCACTGGGTGAATCGAGCACATAATCAAAGGAATAAAATACACAGCACAGCAACAAGGTGAATGAAAACATCATTAGTTCTTTGAGTGGCTGAAAAGTCAATGAAAGGCCCAGAGAACAGACAGTGTAACCATACGTGTGGCCACATGGCAGAAGGGTGGGGGACTACTAGGGTAGAATGTTGTATACATTGCCAGATGCTGTTTCTGTATTAAGGGTTTGTTGTGGTGGGGATGGTTATTGATTTTCTTTGTTACAAGCAAAGATTCATTGGAGAGTAGGGGTGTTCAAAAAAGATAACTGATGCTAAAAGACATCAGCAAAGCATTTTTAAAGGGAAAAGGTATGGATGTTTTAGTGGGCAGCAAATTTGGAATGAGCCAGCAATATGATATGACCATCAAGAAAGTAATGTGAACTTGGGCTAGATTAAGAGAGATGTGGCTTCTCGAGACAGAGATGTCACCTTGCCTCTGTCCTTTGCCCTGGCCAAACGACTTCCAGAGTCTTTTGCTCAGTTCTCCATACCACATTTTAGGAAAGAATTATCACTTGGGGAGCATCCAGAGGAAAGAAACCAGGATGATACAGCTGAAGCTATATGGGAAGAGGAATTAGGAATAAGCATTTATGAAGCACCTACTATGTGCCTGGCACTATACTACACATTTTGCAAACATTTATCTCATCACAACAACCTTGTGAGGTAGTTGGTGTTACTATCCCAATTTTGCAGTTAGAGAAACTGAGCCAAACAGTAAGTGACTTTCCCAGGGTCACATAGGCTAGAAAGTATCTGAGATTGGATTTGAACTCAGGTCTTCCTGACTCCAGGCCCAGCGTTCTACCCACTGTGCCAACTAGCTGCCCATAGTTGAAGAAACTAGGAATGGTATCCTGAAGAAAAGAAGACCTGGGGGTAGGGGAGGGGAGATAGGATAACTGTAATCACATAACTGAAAGGGCTGTCATATGGAAGAGAGATCAAATTTGCTTCTTCTGGCCCCCGAGGGCAGAACCAGGAGCAGGGAGAAGAGGCAGAAAAGACTCATTTAATGTAAATGTCAGGAAAAAGATCAGTAACAATTATAACCATCCGAAAGCTGACTGGGCTTCCTCAGGAAGTGATGTGTTCCCCTTCAAGAAGAGGCTGGAGGAACACACACCAGGTATATCATAGTAGGAATTCTTTATCAGCTAGGGATTAGCCTAGATGAGGTCCCTTCCAACTCTACAATTTTATGATTCTGTGGCCTGTGGTGATAGATATACACACACGTATATATATATATATATATATATATATATATATATATATATATATATATATATATATACACACATACACACACACACACACACATACATACATATATGTGTATATGTATACACATACAGATAGATAGACAGACAGACAGACAGACAGATAGATCACTACTACTTGCTGACTGTGTCACCTTGGGCCAGTCACTTGACCTCTCAGCTTCCAAGGGGTGCGCTTTACAGACCCTTCCAGCTTCTAGCTCTGACCAGCTAGAAAAGATATCCTAGTAAGTGTTTAACAACCAGTTCTCTGGGCGGGGGGGGGGTAATGTACAGACGTGCTTTTAAGTTTATTTTACGTTAACATTTTCTCCTATCTCTTTTAAAAGTCTAGACAACCAAAAAAAACAATGAATCAAGCCCTGATTTGTAGCTGATTTCCAAGGTGTCGGTACTCCCACTGAAATATTAACAGGCAGCTCTTAGGAGTCCTTACAAGCTGGCCCTAGCAAACCCCTGGTTGTCATCCTAACATTCAGTGCTCCATATCCAAGCAGTCTCTTTTCTTCGATGTTCTAAGGGTCTATGATCCAACTTTCATTCTCTTTACTTCCTGCCCTTGGTTATTCAGTTTGCTTTCTTAATATCGGCAGTCATTTTTTTATTAATGTTAAAAACATGTTGCTGGGTTCATTCTGTGCACCTTTCTTGAGCTATAAGTAAGCTAAATTGGTAGAAAAAGTCAGAATTATTGAAAGGGTAGGTGAAAGACACAGTCCCTGTCCTCAGAGAACCCCAGATCACAAGGGATGATCCCTGGCCCTCTCTACCTTGTATTAAGTTCCTTGAAGGCCAGGCAATTCAGTCTCTTACCTTCTCCTTCCCCTCCCAAAGAGCCTATGTTACAGGATTGAGAATGCTGTGGGTGTTGAGTAAATGTCTGATGTCTGATGTTCACAGTAAAGACCATGGAAAGCAGTACTGAATTTCAGAAGGCACAGGTGTGAGTCCCACTTCTGGGACTCCCTATTTGTGCGATGACCATGAACAAGCTCCTTTAACCTCACTTAAGCCTCAGTTTACACATCTATAAAATGGAGTTAATAATTCCTGCACTATCTCATGGGTTATTATAAGGAAAGTGCTTTGTAAACTTTTAAAGCCTACAAAAATGAGAGCTATTATTATAAATGTGCATTATTAATAAATGATTGAGACAATGTACAATAAGCACACAATAATATACCTGGGGAGGCCAGGTTATAGACTAAAGGCCCAGGGTCCCAGGTCATAGTTGATCCCTCTTCCACCTGAGGGACCCAAACAGCAAAGAGCACACAGTGCCCCTGGGACATAAGACCCATAACCCTTGGGGAGAAGGCAGCCAAACCTATAAAATGAAGGCCTCCCCAACATCATCTCTCTGACACAGATGGAGAATAGCGATGAAGACTTTCAGATCCACCTCTCGCAGGCCCTCAGATATCTCCACAGTCACCATCAAAACCTCAAAATTTCAGCTGCCTTGTTTATAGGTAAGGAGGGGGAAGCTGGAATATGCTGAGCCTTCTCTCCTCCCTTCTACCTTTTCTTCTCCTGTCCTGTTTCTCTTCTTTGCCCTCTTCCTTCTCCTTTATTTTCTCCCTTATCCCTCCTTTTCCAGCTCTTTTCTCCTGTTTTTCTCTCATTTCTCTCTCTCCCCCATCTCTGCCTCTCCTCTCTCCTCTCTCCTCTTCTCTCCTCTCCTCCCCTCCTCCTCCTTATTATTTATTCTCTCTCTCTTTCTCTCCTCCCTCCTCCCTCTCTACTCCTCCCTCCTTCAGCTAACTTTTCTCCCCTTTTCTCCTCTCTCCCTTTCAGTTTTCCTCCTCTCCTATTTGTCTCTATCCCCTCTTCTGCTTTACTCTTCTCTTTCCCTTACTTCTCTTTCTTATCTCCTCCCCCTCTCCTTCCCTCAGCTTTCTTCTCCTTTCTCTTGCCCTTTCTGTGTCTTTCCTCTCTTCTGTTCTACTCTCTCTTGATTTCCTTTCCTCCAATCCTCCTTGTCTCATTTCTCTCCTCCTCTCCTGTCTCTCTCCCTTCTCTTCTTTTTTATGTCTCAGTCCTTTCTTCTATTCATCTTTTGTCCTTTCCTCTGCTCCTCTACTCTCCTTTCCTCTCCCTTTCAGCACCAGGGTCTATAAATGAAATAGAAAATTAGTCTCTGAAACCCCAGCCACTCATCAAGCGTCCAATCACCAAAGTGCCCATGATGCCAACCCTGACCAAACTCCCAATCTAGACCCTGCTGCAGCCCTCTCCTCACCCAGCTCCCGACCACACCCTCACCTAGCCTCATCTATATCCTGATTTCACCTCTACCCTGAGCGGAGTCCCAAAGATGGCCAATGGCTATCACTCACACCCATTATCACTATCCCCTTCCAGGGAAACGAGGCCTCAATGAACCTTTTGTTTGTTTGTCTCTTCAGGCTACATCATCTGTTATTACCCTGATGCTATCTTCCAGAAAGCAAGAGATTCTGACTTGGCCTTGTTCTATTCCAGTAAGCCCCAGACTGGGATCAACTCCTTTCTTTTCTGACTGCCCATTCAATCGCCATCCCATTCTACCTTCCCTCCCTGCTTCTCTCCTTCTAGCAGCTGGGCTTCCACTAGTCCTGGGGATCTAAACCTGTAGAACACAGAATGCCACAGCTGGAAGGGCCTTAGTGGTCACCTAGTGCAGCCTCCCTCATTTTACGGAGGAGGAAACTGAGACCCAGAAAAAGAAACCGGGCCAGCATTAGACTCCTGATCCACACTGGCTCTCAGGTTTCACTTCATCACAAACTGAGCTTTCAGGAAAGGACAAACTCACCAGCAAAGGACAAAAAGGCAGGAAGAGCTATATACATCCCAAGGCTGATGGGAGGAAGGTGACAGGAATGGTAGGCAGAACCAAAAGAAGCTAGTCCTAAGAAAACAATCCCTACACAGGACCTCAAGGCCATTCATAGAGACCATTCTCTCCTCCCTGTCACCTTGCTCTTGCTCTTCTGCCAGGGCCTAGACCTCTGGGAATCAGAAAAAACTTGAGTTTTACACTGGGCTTTGCCACTTGTATGCTGTGCAACATCAGATGAGGCACCTTGCCCCTCTTGAAGGCCTCACTCATCTGTTCATACAGATTATAATCCCTACCCTAGCTACTTCATAGGGGTGTGTGGTCTGATAAGGTAAGAGAAGTAGACAGGCTTTGAAAGATATAAAGCAACTCAGCCTGAGTTCCAGGTATGACTTTGGCACTAAATCTCTCTAAATGACCTTGGGAAAATATGTTTCTCCTCTCTAAGTCTTAATTTCTTTCTCTGTAAAATGATGGATTCGAACTAGATGACTACTAAGGAATCTCTAGCTTTAACATTCTTCATTCTGTGTTCTACAGTTCCTTCAAGTTCTAACGTTTTATATTCTAACAGTCTTCCATCTCTAGTGTTCTATGTTCTAACACCCTATGTTCTAAAGTCCCTGCACGCTCAAACATTCTGTGTTCTCACTTTCTAAGTTCTAAGGTTTCTTTTATCTATAGCGTTCTGTGTTCTGGAATCCTATGTTCTAAGGTCCCTGCCAGCTCAAATATTCTGTGTTCTCACTGTCTAAGTTCTAAGTGTTCTTCTATCTCTAGTGGTCTATGTTCTAAGGTCCCTGCTGACTCGAACATTATATGTTCTAAGTTCTAAGGTCTCTTCCATCTCTACTTTTCTATGTTCTGAAATTCTAAGTTCTAAGACTTCTTCCATCTCTAGCATTCTATGTTCTAACATCCTATGTTCTAAAGTCCCTGACAACTAAAACATTCTGTGTTCTAAGTTCCAAGGTCTCTTTCATCTCTACTGTTCTAGGTTCTGACATTGTAAGTTCTCAGACTTCTATCTCTATTGTTCTATATCCTAATATCCTATCTTCTAAAGTCCCTGCCAGCTCAAACATTCTGTGTTCTTACTTTCTAAGTTCTAAGTTCTCTTCTATCTCTAGTGTTCTTTCTATGTTCCAACATCCTATGTCCTAAGGTCCCCAGTAGCTCAAATAGTCTGTGTTCTGACATTCTATGTTCTAAGGTCCCTTTCAGTTTTTAATGTTCTGAATTTGGAGTTTAGACACCTAGGTTCAAATCTTGGCTCCAGTACCTGCTCAGCTGTATGACTGTTGGTTAGTCTTTTTACCTCTACAAGTCTCAGTCTTCTCATCCATAAAATTGGAGTAATTATGCACTGACTACTTCAGGAGATAGTTGTAAACTTTATAAACCTTTAAAGTAACATAGAAATATGAGCTATACTTTATAATTCTGTTCAATTCAACACATATTTGTTAAGCACTGCCTGTGTGCCTAACCGGTAAAATGGGAAAAGTCACACTTGTAACTGGCTAACCTCCTTGCCTTGTGCGAAAAATACTATATAAGGAAGGTCCTAAAGTCATACTAATTATACTGGTGACCTCTTCCAGCTCTAACATTCTGTGATTAAATTATGGCCTTACCCCAATTATTAAAGTATGACTACTATTCCCTTTCCCTCTGCATTCTACTCTTTGACCCTGCTTCAGCCTATCAATGGCCCTGAGATGGAGCTACTACCTTGACTAAAATAGGGGGGTGGAGGGGATATATACATATATAAATATATATGGGAATATATATATAGATATAGATATATAGATTAGATATAGATATAGATATAGATATAGATATAGATATAGATATAGATATAGATATAGATATAGATATAGATGGGCTAGACTTGGGTGGGGAGGGAGGGGACAGCGGCTCTTTCTCTGAATGCCAATTGCATTCCACCCCCACCCCATCCTTAGCCCCATGGAGCAACAGATCCAGGGCCCAAGATTGTGGGAATGGCTTGGGTGGTTGGGTAAAGGCAAAGGCAGGGAAACTCTCACTGGGCTTTCCTCTCTTTGAGCTTTGGAAGAACTAAAGCAAGACCCGGAACAGGCCATCAGGGACTTCGCCACAAAGCACATCGTCTTCCTCGATGAAGTATCCAAAATGATGCACTGACCTCATACCTTGCCTATCCCCACGTCACCCTCCTTCTTCCTCCATGTCTGATGTCTCCCATTCCTTTTGGGCACTCTCCTTATTCCCAAATTGTTTTTGTTTAATTGCTCTGCTTTTTTTTTTTTGATTTAAAAGAAAAAACTAGGTTCAAAGGAGCCTCTGACCTCTTGCTTGTCCCCCACTCTGTTCCTCTTCCCTTCCCAATGCTCCTTTCCCTCCTAAGAAGGACATGGTGTGGATACCCTGCTGGACTAAGCTAAGCAAGGTGTCCTGGAAAACAGACTAGCCCAAGTTGGCTCATTCTGCTCTGCTTCGTCCACGTGGATGGACGTGGGCCCACTCTGAAATGCTCTTATACGGGGCTGTGAATGGCCATGCTTAAGCTGAGCTGTAGAGATATCTATTCATGAAGTCACTCTTGGTGCCTTATGGTTCTCCTACAAATTAAGAGTCCAGAGCCCCTTTGTAGGTAGGTGTAGGAAGGGTGCCTGCCTCCAAACTCTTGGTCCCAGTGCTTCCCAGCCAAGAACATGGCTCCCTTTGGGCTGGAATACCCTAGTGTACCCCCTTGCCCTCAATGGGCTTGAATTTAGCTTTCAGCTAGTGAGATGGCTGCTCTCATCCTCCCCTTTTCTCCACTAGACTCCAGGCTCAATTACTTAATTGCTCAACAAATACTTAATAAGCAGGTACCCAGGGCTAGATGCTAGAGATTCAAAAACAAAAGATGAAACAGTCCCTGACCCCAAGGAGTTTACACTCTACTGGGAGAGAGAGAGGGACATATGACATATGAAAATACAAATCAACAAAAAGTTATATGAGGAGAAAGAGAATATCAACTGGGAGGGTCAGGAAAGGCTTCATGTTGAAAGTAGCACCCAAGCAGAGCCTTTAAGGAAGCTAAAACTTTTAAGACAGTAGTCTACAAACATTTTTTTTGATTGTGCATCCCTGTTCTTGCATCATATTCTAGAGCACGTACCCTCAATATATGTATGTATACTAATATCTGTAAATTATATACATGTTCATGGTTTTAAAAGTCCAGTTTATTTTAATATTTGATTTTAATTACTGTCATACCTCAAAAAGATACTTCAAAAGATACTTAAATTCAAATGGAAAAAAAATGTGTGGTTGGCTTTACTTACTAAATCATGATACTCATTTTTTTAATCTATTTCATCAGTTTCACAAAAGATCATTGTTGGAATTTGGCCAGCAAATTTCCAACTTCTCGATGTCAATGAGTTAGTCTTGCAAACTAATTGGAAAGTGTTATATTTTTATACTATCAACAAATGGGTTCATAACTCACTGAAAATCTCCATTTGGAAGAAAAACACACTAGAAAATTCCATTTGTAAGTTTTTTAAGTATACAGATAGACTTTATGGGTAACACATCATTTTGGGCAACAAAATCACACAACAATAGAAACATTTCTGAACATCCATTTTCAAAATGTTATTTCCCTTAGCATGAGTTTCTTTCAAAAAGCAGTTGCCTTCTTATTCATTGTTAAAATATCACATTTATCTGATTTACAAAGATATGTAGAGAACTAACACAGATGTATAAGACCAAAAGCCAGTTTCCAATGGATAAGTGGTCAAAGGGTATGAACCAATAATTCCTGAAAGAACTGTGAACCATAAATCATATGTGAAATTGCTCCAAATCGTTGAAAATGAGAGAAACATACAGCAAAACAATTCTGAGATTTCACTTCATACCCATCAAAATTGTAAATATGAAAGTAATCAGTGTTGGAGGGGTTGTAGAAAAACAAGCACACTAATTAACAGAGCCATGAATTGATCCAGCCATGCTAAAAGGAATTGGGAATTATGATAAAACAATAACTAAAGTGTTCATATCCTTTGATACAGAGACCATACAGTTAGGCACATATACCAAAGAGGTCAAAGATAGGAAAGCCTAATATTCACCAAAATATCTACAGCAACACTTTTTGCAGTAGAAAAAAATGGGGAAAAGTAGATGATCATCATTTGGGGAATGGCTAAATAGATGGTGGCATGATGGGTTATTAATACACCAGTGAAGACCACAGGGAGCCATGGGAAGATTTATATGAACTAAGACAAAGTGAAGTGAGCAGAACCAAGAAACAGAGAGAATGACTACAACAATGTAAATGGAAAGAATAACAAAACAAAATGAATACAGTGTGATTAGAATGAAGTTTAGCCTCAAAGAAAACTAAAAATGCATCTTCATTCTTTGCAGAGTGTGACTATGAATGTCAAGTACGACATACTGTCAGACTTGACTGATAGATTGGTTGGTTTTATTGTGCTGTCTTTTTTTTTTCTCTTTTATCCTTTGTTATAGAGGATGGTTCTTTGGGTGAGGGGAAAGTATTGGGATGTATTGGGAAATTAAGGTGATGTAAAAGCATTTTTTTTTAAATTTAATATCAACTCTACCTTAAAGAGACAGTTTGAGAATATTTTTTTAATATCTGCTAGGTATCATGTTACTGATCATCGCAAAAAATGATTAGCAAATTTGTGACATTTTTCTTTTTGGAAAAAAATATTAAATTCAGTAATTCTTTCAAGTTTTTTCAGGAAATAAAAATAACCAGTGAACCTCTTTGTGGTGATAATGTTGGCATTCATAATGGAGGGAGGGGAAAGATTTTTGGAAGGGTTTGTTTTTTGTTTTTGTTTTTTTTGTTTTGGTAGCATCTGCCAAATACTTCATCATGAAATTTTTTCCAATACTTGAGTCTAGAAATCTACAAATGTTTTTGCAATGTATCTTATATTCAAATATACATCCCTTACTCTTCCTATGGCTTATTTCACGAGTCTAGAGATTAAGCTAAGCTTGTAGCATTAAAATCAAGCATGTGAAGCATGTGAATCAAATACCAAAATGCATCTGTGATTCTATCAATTTAGCCAATGAGCACTCAAGTATTAAGTGCCTACTACATTTCAGAGAAGAAAGTACAACTTTGGCAACTGATTGGATACATGGGTTAAAATTGGGGGCTGAGGATGACATCCACGTTGCACATCTGGATGACTAAAAGGATAATGGTAACCTTGACAAAAATGAGAGTCTGGATGATGGCTGAGTTTGATGGGAAAGATAATTGAGATTTTTAGTGCAGACTATGCTTGCCCAATCTTGTGATTCATCTCACCATGAAGACAAGAGGACCAGCCAAGGGTTTCCTAGTACAGCCACAAGATGAAGTAGGGAATGGAGAGTGGGTAAGTTAGGAAGGGAAAGGATTTTGCCAGGTCCACATGTGTAGCTACAGAGGGTACCTGGATCATGGTTAGGTTAAAACAGCTTAGTATGAAAGGAGAGGTTGGAAAAACTTGCACAGCAGTGGAAAAAGACAGACTAGAGGAGTGTTTGGGGAATAATAGAGGAAAGGGGTGGTCGTGTTGTGTTGGAGACAAGATTGGCGATCATGGGGCAGGGGAGGATATGACCCAGATTCCCACCCTACAATCAGTTGGCCTTGGATCATCAGCAGTCACCTCATAGATCTTTGAGGATGCATGGTCCCTGATTTGGAGACTACTGTTCTAAAAGACTAAGCTGAGGAAAGAATACATTTCAGGCATGTGGGGATAGCCTAATGCAGAGTCACAGAGACAGAGGATAGGATGCCAAGTTTCAGGAGCAGCTACTAGATCAAGGCGGCTAGAAGACTGAGCACATGAGGGAAACAACACAAACTATGTCTGGGAAGGTGAGTGGGAATCAAGATGGTGGGTGATATTAAATACCAGGCTGATGGATGTCTTTTTTCCTAGAAGCAATAGGGAGCCACTGGAGATGGTTTTAGGGGGACTTGGCATGGTCAGACATATGCTTTGGAAACATTATTTTAGCAAGTGTGATTTAGCAAGGTAGACTGAAGAGGGGAGAGATTGGGAACAGGGACACAACCTAGGAGATGATGAGAGTCTAAACTAGGATAGTGGCATTGTGAATGGAAAGAAGTTGGATGCAAGAACGTTGTGAAGCTAGAACTTACAAGACTTAGCAACTGATTGAGCAGGGGCCACAAGGGGAAGGGAATATTCAAAGATGACTCTGAGGTTATAAACCTGAATGACAAGAAGGATTGTAGTGCCCTTGACAGGGATGGGTAAGTTTGGAGGAACTGCAGGTTTAAGGAAGGAAGATACTAAGATTCTGTTGTTTGTATATTGAATTTGAAATGACAGTGGGACACCCAAACGAAGATGTCTAGCAGACAACTGGCAGTGAAGGACTACTTGTTGTTTGTCCTTCATTCTTAAAGAGGATCAATGACATCAGGAGGGTAATGCCTTGACTCGCAGGTGAATTGAAGTGAAGCAGAGCTGCACAAAGGCATCAGCCTCACTCTCTCCCCCAGGGTAAGCGAAGTCCAGTGACAGGACATAAGTCAAGATGACTGGCAGTGACCCAGGATGCGGTGGGAGACCTTGACCTTTTGATGCTAAGGTCCTTCTCAGGTCTCAGTTTGTCTGAAGCAACACTCATTCAGTGACTAAAGGATAAATTAGAAGTGAGACAAAAGATGGCCTAGTTTGCCTCAGTGAAGGACTAGAGCACAAGAGATAATAAAACTACATAAACCAATCAACCAACAAACTTCTAGAAAGTGTCTTTGAAGTGCCAGGTCTCTGCAAGGTGCTGGAGATACATAGATAAAAATGAAACGATCCTTGCTCTCAAAGTGTTTACATTCTGTGAAGGCCAGAGAAGAGATAGCAAATTACCTATCTAAATAGAAACTGGAGCCAATGGGAGTTGATGAAATAACCAAGAGAGTCAGGGACAGAGCCTTGAGGAATACCAACACTTAAATGGGTAGGAGATGACCATCCACCAAAGGAGATTGAAAAGGAGAAGTCAGACACTTGAAAGAGCATCAGATAAGCCAAAGGAGGAGAGATTATACAAGAGGGGCATGTAGTCTGCTACATCAAAATTTTCAGAGAGGTCAAGGAGGATGAAGACTGGTCAGAAGCCAGATTACAAGAGTTTGACAAGTGAATATAAAATGAGAAAGAAGGATAAACAACTTTTTTCTAAAATTTTGGCTGTGATGGCAAGACATATGTTAATAACTTGAGGGAATGTCATGGTCAAGTAGAAAGATTTGGGTTTAGGAAAGGCAGGAGATCAAGGAGACTTGGATATATTTTCAGGCAAAAGAAAAAAAAGAAGCTATTATATAAGGATATAAGAGATTTCAGATGAAAGAGGAAAGAAATGATGTAGGAGGAAAGCTCCCAGAGGCTGATCAGAAATGTGTTACTATAACATTGACAGAATAAGAATGAGGAGAGAGTGAACCAGATGATGTCTGTAATCCTTTCTGACATTCTGCGGTCTAAGGTCCCTTCTAGCTTTACTACTCTGTATTTTAATCCGTCTTCCAGCCCTAACACATTATGTTCTATAGTTTAAGGTTCTTTCAAATTTAATATTCTGCGTTCTGATGTCACTTTCAAGCTATAACAAAGGGGAACAACTCACAAAACAAGGCAAGACACAACAAGTACCAAATGTGTGACCCAGACACTAAGTACTGAGTTCTGAGGAAGAAAAGATCACGTCTGGCTGAGACCACAAGTAGAAACCCATGCATAAAATTATGAAGACAAAGATGGGGGGTGGGGAACATCATCTGAAAAGACTCAAGGAGACTGCAGGAAACTCACCAACCAACTTTGATTTGTAAAAGACATCTAGCGAAGACAGAAGCAAGGTCAGATAAGTCAACAACAGAGAAGGAATAAAGGCATGACAAGCTACTATCAGAAGAGTATGAGAAAGAGCCAAGACTGGCCAGGAGAGCTGAGGAGGATACAAAATGTAAGTCATTAGCAAGGAAAAGAGGAGGATGGAAGAAGGGATAAGAATACTACTGGGGATGGGTGGGATGCTAACTGGCAAGAGAGAAAGTTTAGGTACTATTCAGCTGTTTTGTCCCAAGGAGAATGATCTCTGTATAACCAGTAGGTGGCAAGGAAGGCACCTTGACCTACCAAATTGTTCCCAGAGCTAGAGGTATGGGCAAAGTGTCCTTAGAGCTCCTTATCCCTCTCTCATGGAAGTTTTTCAAACTGCAAAATAGCTGCCGCACCCACCAGGCTCACTCTTGGGGCTCTTCATTAGATTTTAGCAGAAGTACCTTAGTCTCATTTTTTTTTTAACCAGTCAAACTAAAACACTGTCCTCTAGGCTTTGCAATAGTTCTAGAATGGCTCAGAGCCCCCAACCTAATTCAACTAGTCAAAATGTCTTTCTCTAGAAGGGGATTCCACTATCCCCTGGCCCTACTCCTTATATTTCTCTATATTTGTAAGCCTTAAATAAAATACAACACATAGCTTAGAAATTTTGCTGCCTAACAGGGCTTTTTTGTCATAGGTTAAGAGCTTAGAAACAGTGGCAAGATAGAGTCAAGACAACCAGCGATGGCCCAGGATGCAGTGGGTGACCTTGGCCTTTCTAAATTAAGGTCATTCTCAGGTCTCCGTTTGTCTGAGGCAATTCCCATTCAATGATTAAAGACTGGGTCAGAATGGAGACAAAAATTATTAAATACCCTTGGGGACATTTAGCTTCCTCCTAGAAGAGAAAGGGAATGACTTTGTCCCTCCTCTCTCATCTCAGCCAGCCTCAATCAACAGTGCAGATTTCACCCAGAAAATAATTCACCCTTGGGTCTTTCTCACCTCTCACCCTCTACTGCAGCCCCACATAGAACTCATCATAACTACTCAAGTTGGCTAGAGCCTCACCTTTGGCTCTCTATGGCCCCATACTGCAGCCTCCTCCTTGTGATGGCTTTCTCCCTCCCATATGCTTGATTTCAGGGTGGTTCTATGAGCAAGCTCCTTTACTAAGGGTAGAGAGGGGTTTGAGCTGGGCCCAGGAGTCTGGGTACTATCACATCCCTTCTCCTAATTCTCCCCACCTTTTTCAGGTGGGGTCAAGTTGGGAATACATTTGGATTGGAAAGGAAAGAGCAGAAAGGCCTAAAAGAGAAGTGTAAGAAACAACTTGGTACAGTGGATAGAGTATGAAACTTAGAGTCAGGAAGACCTGGGTTCAATTCCTTTCTCAGATACTTAATCAGTTGTGTGACCCTTCACACCTCTCTTAATCTCTATTGGTCTCATCTGTGAAATGAGGGGGCTGGACTCAAGAATGTCTAAGGTCCCTTCGAGCTCTAAAACAATCAATGATCCTACAAGCTGGAACCCACAATACGAGAACACCTAATTGCCCTTGACGAATTCATCATCACTGTTCCAGATGAGCTATATCCTTAACTACCAAAAGGAATGATGGATAGGAATGCTAAAGTACTACCAGTGTTATGTGAAGGATGATGAAGTGTACTTGATCCAGGATTTTTTTAAGGAGAGAGAAGACTTGGCAAACTATAGACCAGTGAACTTGAATTCAATTCCTGGTGGAATTCCAGAAAATATTTAAGAAATAACTAGTGATCATCTAGAAAAGAAGACAGTTTTGTTAGATCTCCTCAAGCTGAAGCAGATGCAATGGGTAGAAATTAGCAAGAAGCAAATTTAGGTTTGATGTCAGAGGAAAACTTCTTAACAGTTAGAGAGACCCATCAGTAAAATGGGCAGACTCAGGAAGCAGGGGATTGTCTCTCACAGGAGGTCTTCAAAAAAAGGCTGTATGACCATCTAATCGGGTAGATGTGGAAGCGCTTTTTTTTACATGTATGAGTTGGATTACAAAGCCACTGAGGTTGCTTTGCAGTCTAAAGTTCTATGATACCGATCAAGAAGAGCTTCTCTGAAAAGAGTTCTTCATTTGGATGTAGATCCTAATGGACAAGGCTCTATACCCTAAAATGGGCAGAAATGGGCAAGAAGCACCTTGTCTCTTTCATGCCCAGGAGGCTAGCATGAGGAATGTCTTGGACAGAGGAGGGAGCTTGGCCTGAATGAGGGTTAGAAAAGCCAAGGCAAGGTAGAGAATGGAGATATATGTTGGAGAGGAAGCTTGAAGCCACAAAATGGCTGAATATTTCCTTTACTCTCTTCTCTGTCCCCCAGATCATCCCCTACAGGTAAGAAAAGCCTGAGATTCAGCTAATACATGGTCTCTCATGCAGGTGGGTTTTAGGATGAAAGGAATCTCAGAGTTTGAAAGGACCTCAGAATTCTCTAGCCCAGACTCTATTACTTCCTTATAGCCTCCCATCAGTCTCTGCCTAAATTCCATGACAGGGAACCCACTCTCTGTCAAGGAAAACTATTACATCAAGGGACAGTTTTAGGGGCCATTCTTCCTGGCTCTTTCTGGCCTAGTGTCAAAGGAAGAGAATAGAAAAAGCCTGCTGGAAGATGATGCCATTTATTTCATTGGCTATTGCTAGGAGACAACTTGAGCCTTCACATAGACCTTCAGGTGCAAGCAATCTTTTCTGTGATTTGTGGAATGGTCATTTTCCAAACTGTCATGACACATACTCGAAGCCCTGCCAGGAGACCTGAACAGCAACCACCAGTAAGTTGTGGTTTCATGCAAGACATTCTCCCTTCACCCAAAATATCTAACCAAAAAAAAAAAAATCCCTGATCCAGCACAGGAACATATATGACAGCCATAGAGGAGAGCTGAGTTGTTGGATCTGAGTGTTAGTTTTGCTAATAACATAATAATTCTGCAGTCCTGAGCAAAGCCATTTTCTCTTCTTTCCTTCCTCTCTAAAATGACAGGACAAGACTAAATGACCTGGAAGGTCTCTTCCAGTACCAACATTCTCTGAATGGGATCTAAGACACCACCACCACCATTCCAG